AGGCTCGGCGTCTGCCGATCCAGCCTCAGAGCCACCTTAAGCCACCCTGAGCCTTACCCCTCCCTCTACAGACTCCAGGAAAGCTAGGATAGGTACTACATGTACTGATCTTGCATACTGCCCCTTTAAACTGCTCTTCTGCGGCCGCACACGACGTTTGCCGTCGATGTTTGACAACTTAGGGTTTCTCTGGACTTTCGCGACTGCGGACTCCGGTTACTACTCTACCCGGCCACGCGGTCCACGCACGCTCGCTTCGCTCGCGTTGCGCGTCCCCACTGAACGGACCGGCATTTGGCTGTATGATATCATCCCACCTATTGTTGCCCGTATCTGTGCGCTACTTGCTGGCGCCGCGTATTGCCGCTGAACCTTCGCGTCACACAAGGAGCCCTTCTACGCAGTTGCTGCTGCCAGTCGGTGCGGACTCTAGTCCGAGCCTCTACGACACATATCACCCAGTCATCATGCACTCCAATTATCTCGCCCGACGGCGTCGAGCGACGATCCGGACTTTCTCAGCCTGCAATAACCTCCGAGGGATGATAGACCCGCGGGCGACATTCGGCGCACCCACACTCATACACACCGAGATGCCCTGAATTCCTGGCGATTCATTCGAGCGCGAGTATTCTCGAGGTGAGTTGTCGGTCGTCCAATTGTCGTGCCAATGCAGATGATAAGCCATACCACCAGAGCATTTGCAAGGGGATGGCCAGACGCTATGCCAGTGAGAAAGGTGCACGCATCCGACGACGACTACTACACTGTACTCATTCGGCCACACACAGTCTCCTTTATGGTACCAGTCTTCTCGTTGATGTTTGCGTTCTGTCGGGCGAAAGCTGGCCCCGCGCAAGCTCCTCTGCTGACAGCCTTCACGCTCTGCCTGTCTCCTTCGCCATCAAGCCAAAGAATGAGATTGTCTGCCGCATGTCCTGGTCGCGTATTGCCACATCCAGTCCATAACACCCATCCGGACGGTGAAACCAAGACAACGTCGCACAGTGCCTAAGTACTTCTCCGATGTTGAATAGTACCGTAGTACTCAATGGACTTGAGCCCGTCAGGGGCCCGTATACGTGAGTTGCTGGGAAGACGAGCGGCATGCATCAACTGCGCACGACAGAGCGCACAGATCCGTCCGAAGCGGAATAAGCTTCTCGTCAACTCGTCAAAGAAGACGCCAGGGCGATATTGCGAGCAGCAAGCCAGGGAACTTCCTGACGAGCGGCAAAGTCAAGTTGCACACTGTTGGACAATGTGCCCGTGGATATCAAACTCAAAAAGTGTTGGCGCGTACCAAAGTACACGGGCAAACTTTGCTACTGTGACTCTGATCATAGTCTTTCGCTCGTATTTGCTGGCGTCTTCAAGTCGCTATGTGGCTCCCAAACCTAGTGTAGTCACTCATACACGTCTACATCACATCGCCTTGGAGTCAGGCGGTGTAGTGACGATTTTGCCGTCCTTTGCTTCGAAGACGTCCTGATTCTTCAGTCCGTCGGCGGTCGGCTCAGAGACTGGCGATTGAGCGCAGCTACTGTGTATACTACCCATTATTGACACCATTCCTATGGCGTGTATCATGACGTTGAGTGCTATCCAGCCAACTTCCCTCGAGAAGCTTGAGTACTCCAAGGGTGTATGTTGCGTCGCCCGAAGGCCGTCAACGCGCTGAATAGCTGCGCTTGTGCGCTCGATGATCAAGGCACGGACCTGGAGAACGGGCGGGGATGCCGAATGCACAGTGAGTGTGCGCCTCGCGTCAAGTGTTGAGAACACGCCGAGTGGCCGGACGTAGCAGGGCCAGGGCCTCGTGAGGTTTGAGGTTGTATCTTAGAGTCGAGAGCTCAAAGGTGTGATGCGCCGCTGTGGTGAACGTAAACAATGGCGAGAGCCATCGTGTGATTATCTCGGGCCCCGCGGGGAAGTGTCGCCATCTTCTAATCGCTACAGTCGCTCTGCGGTCAACGGGAAGGGACCATCCTTGCTTGATGCGGGAGTTGCAAAGCCAATCTGGCATTTCACCAGGATACAAGTTCGGACAGCAACATCCGTTAGGACGAAAGACCGAACCATTGTCGGCGACAGCCTCGCGTGCGGCGGATAGAGTGCGGCAAGTCGCTGTTGGGAAAGTCCAAGCAATCCATTAGAGGTATGGATCCGGGTGCAAACATGGTTAGTAGAGTGAAAGCATAAGGCCGGTCAGGGACGATAGGAGAATTGCGACACGGTATACCCGGGGCTTGTCGAGTATAAGCGCCTCAAGTTGGAACTCAACAGGTAAACAGTGGAATCAGCGCCATCGCCATCTGGAAGAACGACGGGCTTTACTCCCGCCGAAATCCTACACGATCGGTGTCAGCCTAACTTGAACTGATCTTCATTGGCTACAATCGTCAAGGGTAGTCAACGATACTACATGATCAGAACTAGACAGTGGCCCTCCTTCGCCAGAAGCGCGTGCCCAGGAAACTTTGTGATCTGGGCGAGACCGATTGGCTTAAATTGCCTATCCTGACCGAGCGTACAGCCGATCATTGGCAATGAAAGTGCAGCCAGGGTTTGATGGAGTCCTTGCGTTCCGAGGTCGACTGAGATTTGATGCAAGGCAACGAGCGGGTATTGGCATCTGCTGTTGGGTGGCTTGCCAGAGGCCTGCCAATGAGAATCGAGCACCGGAAACAGGTGCAGGTAAATGCCGGTACCGAGGGAGTCGTATACGGTATGCTGGGCGCCTACTGCTGGTTGCAGGGTCTGTCGATGATGTAGGAGAGGACACGGGGCGCCTTACGCGTCTAGTAGAGCTTAGCGTGCTCCCTCCGTCTTGCGCGACGGCGTATGACCGCGACGATGATGGCAGGCCGACATCTGTCATCTCTGCCCAAGAGACATCGGCGCGTGAGCCAGGATAATCACCCACTAGTGCGGGATGCTGTGTTGGACATCTGGCGGCGACTTTTTTCATCACCTGCGATAGACGAGATAGACAGGACATACGCACTCCTTAATGTGCCTGCCGCAAGCTCGGAGCGGCTGGTCCGAAGGATGAATGATAGGATCGCGTACAGGGTGCCGCAGCTTGCACCGAAGGTGGGCGCAGTTGAGCCTTTGGCCCAGCGAGGCCCATCGTTGTGGCCAACGGCGCAAAGGCGTCGGGCTTCTCTTGATGAAGTTCCCGCCGTTGCCATCATGAGCACGGGTCAAAGGGCTATCATCCCTATCGCAGGTTTAGCCCTCCGGTGTCCGGCCTGAGGAGCATTCGACGGGTCTGTGGTTTCTTACAGCAGTACTCGCTTCAGTGACCCACTCGTCGTCCGTATCGGTGGTGCTGGCTCTTACGCGTCAGGACATCGATATCCTCATTTGAGCGAGGGGAGGTACATCGCCGGTAAGAATTCAGAGAGCGTGGGTACCTAACTGTCCATTAGCTGTGACACGATATCCCGCAAGTATGCAGATGCGTACCAAACCCCTTACAGCAAGGACGGGACAGACCTATACAATACTACTCGAAACGCGTATCGCGGGTAGTCAGCGGGTTGTAGGCAGGACTAGGCCTACTCAAAGATACGGCGTAAGTTCCCGGACCTCATGGCAACAGCAAATCCATGGAGTACGGAAGACGAAACCGTAACGATGACCAACTTGCTCGCATTGTTATTCTCGACCTAGAGATCGGAAGTGACCGACTTCTCCTACAGCGCTGACTTCTCGTCTATACCGGAGTGGGCGAAACCCAGCGGCTGACGCAGCGTAACTCCACGCTCGCGCCCAGCCCAGCCCATCTCCCGTCACTTCTGTACCAACAAACACCGTTCTCACTCTACTCGAGCTTGAGAAGGCCCTCAGGTAGACCGCGACCAGCCGTGGCCAGAGCGAACTCCTTCTGCGGACACGCAGAGGCGCGGACTTGAGCGCCCCACCTTTGACAGAGATCCATCCGACTGTAAATGGATCGGTTTGAACGAGTCACTCTGGACATCGATCTCAGGCTATTTGCATAGCGGACAGTAAGAATGGAAGTATTCTAGAAAGTAGCGTTCTAGGCTATCAGTCGGTGTTTCCGAAATGATCAAGGATGTGACATACAGTCGTAACTGCTCTCCACAGCTCTTAGCCAGAGGCACCTCATCGAGTCTCGACACATGTTGGATTGCACGAAGAATAAACATGATTTATTTCATTCACCAATCCGATTTGTGCGCAAGAATGGCTGCTCAGATACAATTATAGGTTCCTGGAACCTGCTATACGGCGGACATGAAACCGAGGCTTCTTGATTCCCATTATGCCCATCCATCAGTCGAAATGACCCGCGAACACGTCCAAAGCCCAGGACTCTGCCTCCGCCGTCAACTTGCGCCGTCCGCGTATCGTGACTGGAGCCCGTGTCCAGTTCGCCCAGGTCGAGATAGTTCCACCTTCGAAATCAGGAAGCTGCGAAGATGAACTCTCCTCGTGGTCGGGACTTGCGTTCCGTACAGAGTGCGATAGGATCGAGGTGTCATTAGGTACTTGTCGAGAGTCTGAGGCGGGCGCAGTTAGAGAGAGGTACAAGAGAAGTGGGGCACTCCGCCGGTCGACGGGTAGCTGTGGACGTCTGGGCCATGATGGCGGCAAGAAGGAACAAACGCGTGTGCTAACTTTGCCCACGCCGCCGGTTGCGACGTGACCGCAAGCGCGCGCTTGTTGACTTGGTGCTTCGACCATTGACGTCGGCCACAACCACATCCATGTTCTGCCCGACGCTCTGTATATAGTCATCAATCTTTCCTCGCTGTATCATCTTGCTTTGTGACATCCTTGCTGTATCTCGAATCCTGCGTCGCTCGTGACCATGCCTCTCATTATCGATACAGCCTTCGAGACATCGTCTGCTCCGTCCTCAGAGTCGTGGTCCGGCTCTTCGAACACAACACCACCATCTCCGTCGAGTTCTCGCCCCACTTATGCCCGGAAGCGCACACAAAGCCGGCCCTTCACGCGCGGTATAGATCCGTCTGTACTGAACGGTTGCATCATTACGCGCATTGTCCGCTCTCGGACTCACCCTGCTGTGTCGCTGTATACTCTCGATGGACGCTCGTTTCAAGTCCGGGTTGATGGCTACGATCCCGTGCATGCCGGTCTTCCCCGCGAGATTGAATGCAACGCTGCGCTCGCGCCGCTATTCGGCCCATCGGCACCTAGTACCCCTATCTCCGCGACCACACCTACCACCGGCTCATCCCCGACACACTCGAGATCCAAGTCCGGAGGATGGAAAGGCATCGACCAGAGTCAAGGCGTGCGCCTGACGGTGCAAGCTGCACGATACATATCGATGAAGGACGCCGCCCTCAGCCGAGACGCGGTAGGGCAAGAGCTGCGGTGGAATGTCGAACACTTGGCGCTGGCGTTCAAGTTCGCTGAGAAGGACGGCTGGCATTGCTGCTGGGCCAGCATGGCGGAGCGTGACGCTTCTAGCGGACAGACAGCCTATCGGACATTTGACGATGTCTACGTCGAAGAGGTGCCTCGATCGCCTAGGAAGAGAAGGACGAGTGCTCGCTGAGCAGAGTGACTCGAAGAATTCTCAACATTTTGGTGAGAGTACTTGTCGCCCTCCTTACCATCACATTACTGATTGCGCAAACAGTACAAACCTCACATCGCAAGACTTGACTCGTGCTTTGACTTATTGCTCTGAATCCTGTGTAACACTGCTGTTTTTTTGTTGTATCTGATCCTCCGTGAATCTACCTGTAAATTCTGCGATCGCTAGTCGCATCTTGATAACACCCACTGGGCCACTGCCAGTGCACGTACTTTCTTGAGATTATACGGGTAACTCGACCTTTGCCCCAAGACTACGTCCAAATAGCGCGTACTGACGCGAATCAACGCGGCGTCATACCATTGCGAGGCCGTTGTCTCTCCTGCATATCCCTACTTCAATGTCCCAGTTTGCGAGTTCTCTCCTCGCTACTTGCTGGTATGGCAGCTAAGGCCCAGTGCCTTGATAGCCAATTTGTACAGGCCCATAACTGACACCGTACAGGCCCATCACTGACACCCGCTGGTGAGCTATGGGACATGACTATGCTCTCGCTGGTGGGTATGATCGACTGGGAAAAGATAGTCAAGTTAAATTCAGCTTGACAGGGCTGAGAGACGAGGAAAAAAAAACATGAAATCACAATCGATATGAATGGCACTGACGAGATTCGAACTCGCGAGGGTCGCCCCATTACGGATTAAGATCTTGGATGACCTAAACGTAACGCCGTAACCACTTGGCTACAGTACCATGCATGTGGTTTCAATGTAATACAATATATTGTTATTTTGTCACATCACGATACGCTCGGTTGACGACCGGCTTCCAAGTCGAGTTGCCTTCAACATCTTCCTCCATCTTCGATGTCCACATCTATTCATCCCAGCGGAGGCCGCCCTCTGGGCCCTCGCCCAAATAGGGCACCGTCTCCGCTGCCGCCGACGGCGCCGTTGACGATTCGTAAACACAAGCCGGACTCTACTCCAGCTTCGTCTTCCCCACTACAGAACTCTGATCCTCCTCCTTCAGCGCCTGAGCCGCGCCGAGCTGTTCCAAAGCTGGGGCTTGTTTTGCCTGGAGCGCCTTCACCTGCCCCGAGTGGATCCAAGCCAAAGCTGTCTCTCGCGCTGGGCGGCGGTGCGCCTGCACCGCGGGCCGTTGAGCCCGATTCGCCGTCTGCAACGGGCTACGGACTCTTCTCGGGCGGTTACTATGGCGGGCCATCGCTTGCACCGCCCGCAAACGCGACTAATGGCGGGGGCAGTACCACCATCCGTCCTGGCGACCCAACGATCAACGCATCGCGCGGGCCGAGGGCGTACAGCATGGATGATCTCTCGCGAACGATCCATGATATCGAGACTCGAGGGAGTGCAGCGGCAACACCTGATCCGACTTCCACGACCGGCTCTGACAAGACTCGGCCCGAAAGCGGCGAATATGTTATCGAACCGTACCCTTACACGGAATGGAACGACGATGTCTTCGAAGACACGCCGCGGGGAGAGGACACGCGGCTGGGCGAGGGTGCGGGTGGAGCTGTCAGCCAGGTCGTGGACAAGCGCACAGGCGTGATCATGGCTCGCAAGACGATCCAGACTCGGGAGGCACCGATGAAGCAGCTTCTGCGCGAGCTCAATCTCATCACTACGATCTCACACCCGAACATTATTCGCTTCTATGGTGCCTACATGTCTCCTTCAAGCTCAGAGGTCAAGGTCGTGATGGAGCTCTGCGAGGGCAAGTCTCTTGAAGCCGTTGGTCGTCGCATCCGGGAGCGCGGTGCCCGAGTCGGAGAGAAGGTCGCCGGTAGACTAGCGGAAGGGGTTCGTTGTTGTTGTTGTTGCGCTCATCTTGATGGACCGGCGCTGATCGACTGGTGCATTCATTTTGCAGATCCTGCAAGGCCTTGCGTACTTGCGCTCCAAGGACCTCATTCACCGGGATATCAAGCCGTCGAATATTCTCTTGGCCCGCGACGGAGTGGTCAAGCTTTGCGATTTTGGCGTCTCCGGCGAGCTGATCGGTTCCGTGGTCGACACGTTCACGGGGACATCACTCTACATGGCGGTAAGCGCCGTCTTTCCGCGGTCCCTTGCGACGATCACTGACGGGCGCTGCTTTGCTGTTCTTTGCTGTTTAGCCTGAGCGCTTGCAGGGTTTGGAGTATTCCATTCGTGCAGATGTCTGGTCCACCGGCCTCAGCTTGCTCGAGCTCGTACAGAACCGCTTCCCATTCAGCGCGGACCTAGCGCCTATCGAGCTCATGATTCATATCTCCTCCAGCGAAGTGAGTGGCGCTGCTTCTACTCGTCTCCGCTTTCATTAATACTGACTGTACTTTCCAGCCACCACAGCTAGAAGACGAAGACGGCTTCACTTGGTCCGATGCCATGAAGGACTTTATTCGGGAAACGTACGTGCCCTTCACCCATCGGAAGTACGCTTTGTAATGATATACTCACGACCTGTCTTCCAGGCTGCGCGTTGACCCGGCTGAGCGCCCTACACCGAAGGACCTTCTTAACCACCCTTGGATTAGGTCCAACATGTCCTCACATGTCAATATGGCACGCTGGCTGAGCGAGGTCTGGGGTTGGAAATACGTGAAGCCGGAGAAAACGCGGCGGAGTGGGCACACATCGTGAGTCTATCTCTCCACCTCCTCACCGTTCTTAACCTTTGCGCCGGTGCGCATGTTAAACATGAGGCTTACACCATCTTTTCCTTTCGCCACAGAACCTCGCGGCCAGGGACAAGCTCAAGCACGGGTCCGGCGCCCGCTATCGAAGTTTCTGGACCATGAATTCCTCTCAGTACCTCGCTCACTCTCCGCTCTTCGCCCTTCGCCCCTCGCTGCTGGATCTCGACCCCTGCTTACCTTGCCCCGTGTCATCATCGCTCTCTCGCACTGCTCGTCCGCATCGCTATATACAACATCGCAACGCAAATCGGCCCTCCTTCGCTCTTCTCCTAGCTTCCCGGGCTCTCCTATTACACTGTTACACTGAGAGCCTGGTGTGTCCGGGCGGGTGGCGTGAGGAGGATATCATCGCTGCTCGGGCTGCACGTCTTTTTCAAATAGGTTCCGGTCAAGAGACCGGCATGTTTCGTTCTGCTCAAATATCCCATAGTGTTCGTCAGAAATGTTGTTTGTGTCTGCTTGAGTTCTCTGTCAATCTCTTCGTACTGTCATTCCACCAGAAGTTATAAACTAGTTACCTACTGTCATACGCATGCTCCTGAATTTCTTGGATATCGAATCTGGATACAGGAAATGATTGTATAGTCTCTGAAACTTGACGCAGTAGCTAGAAATCATGGCTGGCATTGACCTGCAAGAGTGCTGTCTAGATTTTTTGCCCGCCTAAGCCCGAAGGGCTGTTTGAACGACTCGCCTGACCCGAGTAATAAGACTCAACAAGTGAGGGCAACGCGCGAGGCAGTGAAATGGCCGAGAGCTTCGTGGCGTCGGGAGCACGAGTCGTGTGAGCCTCGAGGCTCGCAACTGATGGAAGAGTAAGTTGCAGGAAAGACATCCCCCAAATAAGCGGTGATCTCTTTGAGAGTCCATTTCAAAGCTATCTTGGGGAACCGCCAAGATGATCGCATGCTCGACTGGAGAGACTGGAGACTCTATACCGTGTATCCCGGCAACGCGGCGGCATCATGAGAACCGGGCGGTCTCTCAGGCCAAGGCGCGGCGACGGTCTCCTTGGGGAAGAACAGAGAACGTCGAGACGGTCTGTCAGCTATTCCGGAGTTCTTCAAACGCCCAAACGTTCAGATGGACTAGTGCTATTCGGTTCTTCAGTCGAAGGGAGTACTTGTCCGGAGATACGGGCAGCTTCGGTATAAGCCGGCCAACTCTAACTCATACTTGTCTGCGCACGGTCACAGCGGGTGCAGCGGCGTTCTATACGCCCCTAAAGGGGCAGAAGACGGTCAGCGCTCATGTGGTAACTCACGAGTGAGAGACTGGTCGAGCCTACTTCTCGGGTCTGTCTCTGTACGGTCGCAGGACGAAGCGTACGTCAGAACACGAAACGGCGGAATCATATTCCATACCCGCTTTGCATCGCAGAACCCACCGCGGCCATACATTATATTCCGGCAGACGGCGATGGTGTGAATGGTCTTATTCATCCCCGTTACTCTGAGGGGTTTCAAGATGAATTGCAAGGGCAGAGAAGAGGGACAGCCATTGATACCTGGGCGCTGTAGACTGCTGCGTGAGGCATATGCTTCTTGATATCGTAGTTGCGGGGACCTCGTGGCCTCATGTTCGACACACAGAATTATACGTAGGTACACAGGTGATCGGTGCTCACGCGCTCTGAAGTATATTCGCGGCGACCTCCATGGACGGACTAGCTCGCCTCCGGACCGGTCAAAGCCTACATGGGCTCAATGAGGTCACGATAATCACTTGTCATTGGGAGAAAGGTGTAAGCACGAGTACCGATGACTGTTGCGCCGTGAAGTAGGAGACGATCAGGAGGCACGAACGATGTGCGTAGCTTTGATAGGCAAGGAGGTTCAGGAGAAGAATGTCTGTTCAATGGCAGGTTGCGCGCATGATTGATAGTAGTACGCCGCCGCCGAGTCGCGCGCTGTTCGCGCGACAGGGGTAAGGGCTGCTGAGCGTTGAGCGTCAAGCACAAGCATTCATCGGAACTGCCGGGCGGGAGTCTGTGCGACCATCAGCTTCGCTGCTTCTGTCAGTGGAGAGCGGATGAGGTATTCGATCTTGCTGGACCATACGACATGCTGCCAACTTGCAGACGAAGGCTCCTTCAAACGCGCGTTTCAGACTAAGGATGGGTATACATAAGTACCGGCGAATATGCTTCTTAGCCATTGGCGGCTGATAACATTCCCGTCGCCGAAAGAGGTAGCCACGAGCCGCTCTCTCAATCATACGGTCTTGCGGAATTCGTGGTCTCGTATAGTGATATTCAAAGCACATGATTAGAACCGCGGGTCTGTTGGGAGTCCGCGGACCGCCAAGGTCCGCTGTGATGCAATCGTCGATGGTCGACGCGGCCTGCTTGTGAACAGACCGCCGTCCATAATGCAGGCGGAGTCGACATGAGGACAAACCACGGGCTCCTCAGGCAACGTATGTTCCTGCGTCGGCGGGCACATGCAGATAGAACCGAGTGCTTGAGACCACTTGAGGCCATGATGCATGACAGAATGTAGCCAAGCTATGTCGTTAGTGCAAAGCTTGGGCCACACCAGTTACACCTGCGGAGAAGGCACTCGGCCGCGTCGGACCTCGAAATCTCTGAGATAAAATTGAATCGGCGGAGGACGTTCTATGGACAAGTGCGCTCTAGATTGTGTCTTGAACCTAAACTCAACTTCGTGGACGAATTGTGTGGTGGCGAGGGCATACAAGTAGTTAGAGGTACTGATGGCGGGAGGCGACTAAGGGATGGTCCTGAAGACGCCGCACTCGGCGGCCGCCGCCTTGCGCCGCCGCGTCGGGACATTTCGGTCCCGCGGGCCCCACAGCCGGCATTTTATGGCCTTACATCGCGTCATCATATCCTGCCTTCCACTACGACCGCGACATCTTCTCAATTCCACCTGCGACGATCCTCCACTACCTATAGTGTCTGGAGAATGGCCCTCAAGGGGAGTGAAGCTCTAATACAGCTCAGATCCGAAGTCAGCAGACGAACCAGGTCAGAAGATACAAACCGCTGCGGGCGACGAAGAGATGAAGAGTATTTGCTATGGTGTCCAGGGCAACCTGAGCTTGTTCCATCGGTCTATGGTTGCTTGAAAGATGCTTTCTCTAGCTGTCCCAAGACTTCTCTGTGTCTCTGCGAAGGTTCCAAGTCACAATCCGATAGTTGCTTGTCGACGCTGGAAGATTCCACGTCGTCATTGCTAGGTATTCGTCCCGGCTTGAAGATATGAATCTCAGATATCCTGCTGCCTTACTCACACCTTGCGTTCCGAGGTGCCCGCTGCCAGTATCAGCCACTGTGGGCCGGGCATTGGCTGTTTGGACCAGGGGTGACCGCGCGCCCGACTGGCCCCTATACCGCGCAGTACGCAGTGTTTCCCATCCTCGGCCTCGGCATATCGATCGCTCCGGAGGTGTTGGCCACCATCGCCCATAGTGAGTATGCCTTTCTTGCTCTCTGTGCAGCACATGTAGCTCATCTGTCGCCTTACATTCATCCGCTAGCGAACGGGCAAGTTGCGTTCTTGTTGTCCTACCGTTGCGAGCGTGTGTGTAGTATCGAAACCGCGTCTTTACATCTTGCCATTCATCAGGGATGCTTCAGCGTGATACTCAACTCACCGCATCGATGTCAAAAAGTAGTATCGTCTTACTGTCCACAACGCGTACCTTCGGCGTCATCCAGTGTTCTCTACAGTGGCGCGCGCCGAGATCAAACGGTAATTTGCCCCGCCATACCCGTGCCACGAGGTTACGAGGCACTCCTCCGGTGGCCGTGGCATGTGTGTTGCGCGCGTTTTTGACTATCTTGTCTCAGAGACAACTCAATGGCACTATAGAAAATAGGCATAGGCAATAGACGGTCTTGTTTTGCTGCGGCTGAAAGCACTCTAGGCTCATCCAACGCGCGAAATTTTCGCGGACCTCCAGGACGGCGAGCGAGCCGCAAACGGCATCAGGCCCCAATTAACTATCCTGAACCTTTTCATGGCATAAACGTTCAAGCTAACCTTGTAACCGTACTAAGACCACAAAAGCAAAGGCAAAAGCTCCCCTACAGTTGCACAGGGAGCGTCGAACGCCCTTCAAAGGCATCCCTTCATGTGCGTATGTGCCACAATTACTGCGCCAAGTCCGAGCCACGCTTCTGAACATCTCACCAGATCCTCGGAGACTTATATCCGACGCGGGGAGAAGCTTCTTTCCTTGTTGTGCACGATCACGTAGCGTGTTCGTACACCCTGAGATCCAACTGAGATTGAAAAGAAGATTCAGCCTCCATGCGCATTGATCCGGCAGCTCGCAGCCTGGTTGAAGAACGCAAGGCCCATGCATGTTCGGCCGTTCATATATATCTGCCGTGTAAGGACGTGATGCTTACTCCCTCCTCCCGCTCCTACAACCATCCACTACCTCCTGGCGGTCAATCCCACCATCTACCCGACATGGACAACCCCTTCGCTTAGTGAGTGCCACACGGCCTTTCACCTCCGCGCCTGCTAAATCCCATATACAGCACCCTTCCCGAACGAACATCCTTTCAGCAACCTTTACGCACACATGCTTCAGAGATAGACATCTCGAGCAGACGCGCTACCTACGAGCATGTTGCTCCGATGCAGCGGCGACGTCCTAAATATACTCGCAGCAAGACAGGCTGTCTCACCTGCAGAAAGAAGAAAGTCAAAGTGAGTAGTGCCCGATATAAGCTCCGACACGCTCTAACTTGAATACCAGTGCGACGAGGCTAAACCCGACTGCGAGCGCTGTGCCAGTAGCGGCAGGACCGTAGGTCTTCTCTTGGCGGACTGTCTTCTCTCGGGCTCACCCCATACAGTGCACTTGGCCTGAGCCCGCAGTACCTCGGCGATTGCCGTTGGTTGGCGATGAGGCTGTTTATAACTGGAATGCAGAAGAAGGACGGCCCTATACCGCGAGCTCCAGCGCAGGTCTCTCCGACGCGTCGTCCACTCCGTCTAGTCTGCCGGAATCGCCCCACCATGCGGTCATCACTGGTGGGTACGAGGATAATAGGCTAGCCCCAGGTCCATATCTTTCGAGGCGCCACAGGTACCGATGTCTTGTTATTTGAAATTGCGCCATATGTGACCTATTGTATCCAGTGCGCCGAGCCTCAAATCTTCTGAGAAGCCTCTACACCCGTCGCCCATGCGTCAAATCCCTGTACATCACCCCCACGTTGCAACCTCGGTGCAGTAAGTTGATTCACACCCTGTCATTGGGTATTGGACGCGATTTAACGTTTGTCACTGTATTATCAGAAGTATGCCCGTCACTCACGCCCCGCGTCAATCTTGGAACGGCCCATCGAACCACTACGGAGCGCCCGTGCCACCGCAAATGGCATCTTCGTCTTACCCTCCCACCTCACAACCACCGACGGCAGCCCCCGCACCCACTGGCCTGAGCCCTATTCCTGAACTTTCGTCTCTTCCCTATTCGCACTTTGCCTACGCGCACAGCGATGACGCCATTGCCGCATATTCTACGGATGTCTACCCCGCTGTGCGACACACTGTTCCGTCAATGCCCCATGCCGACGTGGTCCCAACTCACGCTCTCTCCGGTCTGATCGCGGTGAAGCAAGAGTTCGCGAAACCCTTGGAGGTGTGTAATCCTGCCTTGATGACCACTACGCTTGATGCTTATGTTCTTCAGTTATCGTCATCCCCGCATCACTCGCGGGTTTCTTACCCTGACACTTCGGCCTTGTCGTGGGACCAGTACAATCCACACGAGAACACCGCTGCTCCCGCTTACCCAGATCCTTCGACATACTCGCACGAGTACTACGTGCGTATACCTTCTTACGCTCAGCTCTTGCTTTTGCTGACTGGTGTTTCACAACAGGCGGACGAGAATCCATCTCCAGAGCCAGTTTGGCCTATGGACTCCAGCTATGCACACTACTACACACGGCCGTACGCTGAGCTCCACGAGACGTATCAGTCAACCCCGGACAACAGCGCCCACGGCCATGCGCCCGTCATCCACCAGCCACAACCCATGCAGCCCGCAGTTATTCCCTATCATCAGTGATCTTCCTTTCAGCATGCTACACGCACGTCGCACCATATTGCTTTCCCCCTCGAACGTTGTCCATATCTTGCACTCACGCTTTCCACCACCCCTGCAATGTCTTCCTTCCTCACATCCTCACATACCGCCGCATCTTGCTGTCCAGTCTAGTCGTCGTATAACTCGCAATATCTTGTACATTGGTTAATCACGCTATGTTCTTGCATGCTATGCTCTACCTATGTCGTTCGCACACCTTTACCTGGCCGTACACAAACCATAATGATACACGCCTCGTACGGAATCTTCTGTGAATCTTCTGATAAGTGGCGACATGCGTACACCAGCTGTTCGCTCGCAATTAACCAAACACAAGTTAGACTCGTGCGAGTGCACTCGGGCATCAGACCAACTGAAGGAGAAGCCAATTACCGCATGCGTACCCCACGAGAAGCAGATCAAGCAGGCAGCCCTTCTGAACGTGGCGGCGGGGACCGTGTTCATACAGCCTATCGTCATCAGACGTCCTTAATTGCGCCGATGTTCCCCGATTTCTGCGCCCAGGCATCCTGTCCGGCACGATGGCCCTGTCGCAGCTACTCGTGTTTGATAGCGTAAGAGGGATATGGAGTCCGCGGTATCCGACGGACGAAGAGAGGTCCGGCTACCACGCATATGATCGAGTTTGAGGCTGAATCGTTGGCCTTTTCCTATCACAAAGGCGATACGAGGATTCGTCCTCCGAGTATTCAATGGCCTTCTCGATATAGTCGCTTTTGGTACAAGGGTTGACACATCACGTCGTGTAATCCCATGACGCGTATGCATCGACACGTCTGTCCAGACTAAGCAGCAGAGCGGGCTGCATGCAGCTTTGTAGCGCATTCCGTCGGTCTTCCTCCCAGGCAATTGGGGCCACGTTGGACTATTGTAGCACTCATGACTACGACAAAAAGCCGCAAACGAGTTGGTCCATCACTATCGGGGCGACGCGTGCCCGCACTCCAGGGCCCATGAACAGCCCAGCCACCGATACAGCCTCGCAAGCGCCGATGACGGAGCCTGGTAACTGAGCACGCCCAGCACAGAACTATCAAGTTCACTAATCTGGAGAGCCCGTCGCATATATCAAACGTATCGCATACTGGTTCCAGGCGACTCGCGTTGACTCAGAACGCTGAGTGGCGTGGCCATGAACGTTGAGAACAAGGATCAAACTCGCTCAGGCTTCGCTAGCGCAGAAAGCCGCACGTGGACGCGTCCGCGCATGACGTCCCCGGACTGGAGCGCTCAGCCGACTCAAGAGGCGCGAAGTCGCTTCTGACCACCACTACCACCTTCAGTCTCGCCCAACGTTCTAGCGATCTTTCTTATATTATAGCTTGGACGGCCCCTGCATCTCAGATTTCTCCCTGTCAACGCCTGGAACGACGGTTAACCTACTTCTCGTGCCCATATCCCCGCATCGACCTCTACAGCGACTTGATCTGAATATACACGAATCCTTGCAAATATGGCCGCTGAAGACGATGTCATCTCCTCACAGCCTGTGAAGCACACTGAAGATGCGGTCAGCCTGCCGTATACGGCTCCAGTGAGTTCGTCCCCCGTGTGCCTTCGTCTGTGGGTTAGAGATCAACGTGAATCTTGAAGACGCCGAATCCCTGGTCTGAGACCCAGCCAACTTTCCGATTTGGTGTAGCGGACGAGAAGGGCCCCAGGCGGACGATGGAAGATGCACATACTTACGTGTTCGACTTCGCTGGAGTGAGCGGACAAGGTTTCTTCGCCGTATTCGATGGCCACGCCGGGAAGGAGGCAGCGGACTGGTGTGCTAAGAACTTTCATGAGGTATGCATCCAGCCAGATTCTGAATAGTATAAGTCGCTGAAGCGAATACAGCATCTACTACAACAATTAGAGGCGAACCCAGACATGCACATACCTGATGTGTTCAATGCAGCCTTTCAGAGCGTCGATCGCCACCTCACCAAGATGAGCAACGAGTCGCAGGGCAAGATCCACTCTGGCTGCACTGCCGTTACCGCTTTCCTGCGGATCGAAGATGCGGATGGACGTCAGCCTTTCTCTTCCGGATTGGACGCCACCGCGGCTATCGTCAACTCGCACTCGCCCTTCGATCGCCCTGGACCTGCAAGCCCTGGCTCCGGAGGACTCGGAGCGGACTCCGCAAAGGGTTCGTCGCAAAGCAGAATCAAGAAAGCGTTTAAGCGTCTTAGCCAGAGCGTTTCTTCAGGAAACAATAATAACTCCCCTTCCGCGACACCCCGCACCCAGTCGCCCACGCGCACTACGCACGCACGCAGCAACTCCGTGTCCACCGGCCCCGTTCAATCTCCACCGCCCGGCCCATCGCTGAAACGCACGCTGTACGTCGCGAATGCTGGAGACGCACGCGGTGTCCTTTGTCGACGTGGTCGTGCCCTGCGCCTGACGTACGACCATAAGGGTACGGACAAGCAAGAAGCCAAGCGCATCATGGACTCTGGAGGGTTCGTCATGAGTGGGCGTGTCAATGGCGTACTCGCCGTTACGCGTAGTCTCGGCGACTCTTCCATGAAGGAGTTCGTCGTTGGAGCGCCCTACACGACCGAGACCGAACTCACCGATGACGACGAGTTCCTCATTCTGGCATGCGATGGGGTATGTGCCTGTTCCGTCTTGACCGAAAGATGCACGCTGACTGAACGTGGTAGATTTGGGATGTCCTTGACGATCAGATGGCGGCCGACATCGTTCGCCCTATACAGAACGTCCAAGAGGCTGCCAACAAGCTCATCCAGGAGGCGACAACCCGTTATACAAACGATAACATCACTTGCATGGTTATACGCCTCAAAGACGTGACTTCTGACCAATAGTTCCCCGAAATCTACATATAATGTCTCACTCATGAACGATCCTGTTGCTCCGGAATGTGTCTAAATCGCCTCCATGTTCTGCCTGCATGCGGCATGTTGTTCGCCATGTTTTGTTCGCCAGTTGCCATACAAGAACAGTCTCTTCCATATGATACTGTACCTATAGTCACTTTCTTGGAATTATAAACATCCCCTGGTGCCTCATCTTGCGTCGATCAAAGTACTACTAGTGAGCCATGAGCGGAAAAGGTGTAGACAGTTGTGGGCGTCTATATACGCGCGCCTGCAACGTCATCGTCTCGAGGCCGCATGCGGCATGCCAAGGAAGAAGTCTAATCGAACAGCCATGATGTTCCACTGCAGTTCGACGTCAACCCCTATGCATGTTTTCCTGAAATGAACAAGACCTGCCCTTGACGTCGAGGGGCTTCTCTCCTTTATTCACGACCGTCACGAACGACAACCTCTAGAGATGTCGCAGCAGCAGTGGGGTGCTCACCCTCCAAACACCGCCTACGGACAGCAGCCCGCGTATACGCCGGGCAATTCGGCACCTTACGCCCAGCAGTATAATCCGGCGCCCAATGCCGAGCAAGGATATGGTACATCAGAGAAAACTCCTAATGCCGGCGGGCGCTTCAAACCGGAGAGCAGAGTACGCGATCCAGTATTCCTGATTCTCTTCTGGCTTCAGGTGCGTACCACAGCAGATATGCGGGAACGCGGCTTACGAGGCCTCCGCAGTTCATCGGTTTTTGCGTCGTATCTGGCCTGGCACTCAGCTATTGGGTTCGGGAGTCTGGTCTGAACGGAGGGCTGGGCAGTGGGAGTACTGGTAACAGTGCCACCCTGAATAGGTATGGCTGTAGTCCGCGTAACCTTGCGCCGCAGGCTCACAGAACTCCATAATAGCTCGACGGCATATCTATTACTACTTGTAGCTGCAGCCGGCCTCGTTCTGTCTACCTTGTACTTCATCCTGACGCGCGCGTTCACGCATGCGATAATGCACATCACGCTGCTCCTCACAATCGCGCTCAACATGTGAGCTCACCACGCTCCCTGCTACGTTCTTGATTTGACACAGCCGCAATACAGTGGAATTTGCGCATACTACTGGGTTACTAAGTACTGGTGTAAGTTCACTAAGTATCTTTCGAGCACTTCCCAGCTAACGTTCCGCCTCAGCGGGGGCCATCATCTTCACGATCATCGCTATCATCTCCATCTTGTCCTACTGGGGTTTTCGCTCGCGGATGTGAGTCCGGTGATGCCCTTCTGTTGTATCTCCACTGATTCGCTTGCTGGTATCCTCAAACAGTCCGCTGGCATCACTCCTGCTGCAGGTCGTTATGGACGTCAGCAAGGCGCACAAGTCTGTCTATATTGTTGCCCTCACGACCCTACTCCTGCAGGCCGGGCTGAGCGTGTAAGCCCAGCTTCAGAGTCAAGTCGCTGAATTGATGATGACGACTATATACAGGTGGTACACCTTCTCGATCATAGCTACGTACGTGTCATCTTCTGCATCGTCCACGCCTTTTCAACCAGATATTGACGCCTTATCCAGATACATACGGTGGACCCCCGGGAGCCCGTGTACGTTCTCCCTAGGTTATTTTGGGGTGCACAGCTGATATGCGTCTGCGTACAGCCTGTTCGGATGGTGCGGCGTGTTCCAGTGGGAAGGTCGCCGGCCTCATCTTCTACCTCACCTTCTCGTACATCTGGACGAGCATGACCATTAACAATGTTTCTCTCGCCACGCTCGCGGGAGGACCGTACGGCAGTGCGTATCGGCGGCCTTCGCGTGCTTCCTTCGCTCACGATTTTTAGGTTGGTACTACTTCGGACCTCGAGACGCCGGGTTGATGCCTAAACACCCTACGACTCAATCATTCTTCCGCGCTTCTACTATGTCTTTGGGGTCCATCGCTTTCGGGTCGCTCATTGTGACGATCCTTGAGATCATCCGGCTCATCTTGAACTCCTTGCGAAACGAGTCTATCGATAACGGAGACCGTGAGTGTCATGCAGTGTGCGGTCTCATGCGTTTACTGACCTATCATGATATCTTAGCCATCACCGCTATTCTGACATGCTGCGCGCAATGTCTCGTTGGTATCATTGAGGGAATGGTGCAGTACTTTAATCGGTGAGTAAGCGCTGTGCGCATAGCCTGCCAGGGCTGCTGCTGACTTAGCGCCTTTAGATACGCATATATCGAGATTGGTACGTGGTGATGAGCATGACAGCATCTATGCGCTGATCGTCGCTTAGCTCTCTACGGAAAGCCATACGTCAGAGCCGCCAAGGACACCTGGCGCATGTTCAAGGATCGAGGCATCGATGCTCTGGTCAATGACTCGCTCGTGAGCATGAGTGCGTCTATCTCACTTCACTTCCCGTTCTTTTCTGATACGGGCTCTCGGTAGCATTGACTTGGGGATCCTACCTCGTTGGAGTCCTATGCTCGCTTTTCGCATACCTTTATCTACGTTGTAAGTCTCGCGCATCTTCAGCTTCTCATGTGCTCATCTAAACGAAACGCAGACACGGACCCGTCTTACAACGCGGACGGCCAATACACAGCCCCCGTCCTCCTGTTCGCGTTTCTCATCGGCGCCCAACTTCGTATGGATCACAAACTCCGCTTCCATGCTTCCATGTTGACCCATCTCAACAGACTTGACACTCGCATCTGCCATTGAGGCAGGTGTATCGACGATATTCGTTGGCCTGGGCGAGGATCCATATGTCCTAGCTGCGCGAGCGCCGGCTTTGTTCGACGTGAGCCCGATCCACACTGATAGCTTCGCATGGGTTGACCAAGTTTGATCAGATGATTGTTCAGAGGTACCCACAAGTCGTGCAGGGTGTACCCAGAGTGGGTTGAAGCACCGTATCACCATGTTAGCCTTGACTGTATCACGAGAAATGCACATGTACATCGTCCCAAACCGAGTCGCGCGAAGCCCGAGTTCCATACGGTATCCCAATGACCTGCTGTCACCGTACTGACGAACTTTTGAAGATCCTCGCATTCGGTGTGCTTCCCGACGCATTGCACCGTACGCCTAATACTTCGTGGTCCTCACCTGCAGCAGTCTCGAAGGCGGGATGAATTGATATGCGCCGAAATGCAGAGATCAATCTTCGGCGACTTGATCCCGCCGTTCTGTTTTCCTCAGGTATATGCGCGGAAAGAACATCCGCCGCTAATGCTGCTTCGAAAGCGTGTCGGGAGCGCCCGTCGTTGATGGGCACTGGTATGCATCAAACATCACCGCATCCCTCAACCTATGTCCTTGGAGACTCAGGACGGGTATCAGGGAGCTCGTCTCACTCGCACCGTCTGTCAACAAGACCTTCAGCGCTACGTTCCTGCGCGTCCCGCAATCAGCTTCCCCGACAGCCTAGGCAAGGGCATTGGGTGATGAGGGCGACCCGTCCTCGTTGGCGATACATATGAATCGCGGTGCAAGGCGACATGTGTGATTCTTCCCTTCGTGACACGCCGCCCTAACCGATTAAATTGCTGTGCGCACGTATTTCTCTAACCACGGCGAGCCCCTGATCTATAAGTACGGAAGTCTAACTCGCCGACCATCCGCCTTACCCGTCTCGCCATGGAGTCAGACCGACAGCCGCTGGTGCAACACCAAGAAGATTACAACGACCACTTCCCCAATCCGTACGGCAACCCTTATGATCAAGCACCACACAATACTACCCCGAACGGTCCCCCATTCGCAGACAAGAGCACGCCTGTGCTATACCCCCCACAACCTTACGCCCAGCCGTACTATCCCCTCCAGGATCCTGTTCTCAACGGACAAGCGCCTTTCGCGGGTGAGCGTTTTCGACCGAAGAATGGAGTGCGCGATCCGTTCTTTCTGGTGCTGTTCCTTGTACAGGTACGTTTTCAGGGTCAACAAACATGCGTATACCTCGCTGATACCCTTGCAGCTGGCGGGTCTTGTTGGCATATCCGCCTATTCCGTGTACTCCTGGTTCCACGCGGGTGGCCCGAAGTTCGACGAAGATTCGAATGAGGTGACAGAGGACATCGGTGCTATCGCTTCGAAGTGCGTGTTAGCCATACTTTCCATGCGAACCCTCGTGCTAACGTGATGTTGGTCGATTAGTCCCATTCTCATCGCCATCATCGTTGGTGGAGGGCTATTGATCTCGACGCTCTACTTCTTGCTCCTCCGGCTGTTCACCACGTTCATGATGCATGTGTCACTAATCTTCACCGTTATCCTCAATGCGTACGTTCATGACGACTCAGGCGAGGATGTGCCGCTGATGAAGCTTGTCCCAGGGCGATATGCGGATACTATGCCTACCGGAAGCTCTGGGGTAAGTACCCTAAGCCTATCAAGCCCTATGTCACAGGCCACCTGTCTGAATGGTTCACCAGTCGCTTGCGCAATCTTTGGCGTCGTCGCGCTCTTCTCTCTGTTGGGCTACTTCGGCGTGCGCAAACGGATACCTTTGGCGTCCTTACTCCTGAAGACTGTCATGGACATTACTACGGAGCACTTGGCAGTCTACGTCGTGGCTCTGGTGTCTCTCGTGATACAGGCAGCCCTGGCTGTGTACGTCTCGTCCTTACAGATGCGCGTCTGGAAGCTCACGGTGTGTTCTGTAGCTGGGTCGTCTTTGCCTGCATAGCCTCGTTGGAGGTCTGGAGTGAGTGTTCTGACCAGTTACGCGCGTTGAACTTCCCTGATGCTGCGAGCAGCTGGCTGCTCGAGCAACAGTGCAACAAACACTCAGTGCAATACGGCCCTGGGCTGGGGCTTCGTGATCTACATGGGTATAACGTACATCTATACGTCCATCACCATAGGGAATATCGTATCTGCGACGCTCGCAGGAGGCCCTTTCGGCTGTGAGTGCCCTCACCCCATGGCAGTTGGCCCCTTCTCAGGATCTGATTGAAACATAGGCTGGTACTACATTGGCTCCAAAAACTCGCCCCAGATGCCGTCTTGGCCAACCGCGTCGGCATTCGGCAGAGCGACCACTTCCTCCCTGGGCTCTATCGCCTTCGGCTCGCTTATCGTCACCGTTCTCGAGATCATCAGAGGTCTGCTAGACTTCGCGCGCCAAGATTCAGATGGTCAGTACACATCCAGGACTAGAATTGCGGCATACTGACAAACACCGTCAGGTGTACTCTCGTTCCTCGCCTGCTGCGCCGAGTGCTTCGTGGCCTGTATCGAGGATATCGTCGAGTCATTTAACCGCTATGCCTACATCGAGATAGGTACGCCTCAGAGCCATCACGAGGCAGGGATGCTGACCATCCTGAAGCATTGTACGGCAAGTCCTACGTCAAGGCCGCCAAGGATACCTGGCGTTTGATCAAGGATAGAGGTGTGTAGTCCGGCTTGATTGCTCTATCTCAGCTGACGCTCCACGACAGGCGTTGACGCTATCATCAACGACTCCATCGTCAGCAATGGTGCGTCTTCCCTGTCCGACATTCGTCGTTTATGTCCATAACTTCTGTCTAGTTCTGGCCTGGGGTGCTCTTTGCAATGGTCTTCTCCTTATGCTGGCTGCGTTTCTCTGGGTGCACTGTGAGCTCCCATGTCCTCTATCTGGGACTCCAATGGCTTACTACGAAGCTGGCAGTCAAGGAACACGAGTCTTTCCAAGACAACGGAGGGGAGCTCATCGCTGCCATGGTCTTCGCCTTTGTCGTAGGTGTGCAACTTGGTGCGTCTTCGTCAACAAGCTCTCCACCCTCGTGACCCTGACCAAATTTCTCCTTCTGCAGAGCAAACACTCGCCTCCGTATTTGAATCCGGCGTCTCCACCATGTAGGTTCCATTGCCGGATCTGTCGCCTGCTTGTCCGCTGACTGCCCTTTCCTTCTCAGCTTCGTTGGTCTCGCAGAGGACCCAGGCGTGCTCGCCATCCGATCACCCCAACTCTTCGGTGTATGTACCGCGTTCAACGTTAGATCTGCATGTTCGCTGACGTGTTGCACAGCTCATCGCAGATCGCTACCCTCAGGTTGTAGAAGGAGTACCTGGAGGGGTGAGGGTCTAGGCCTTGGGTAGATCACCGCGTGGGGAGTAGAGTACGAATACCACACGTTCTCAGTCGTAAAGCAGTTGTATCAATGCGTCACGACGCTCACATCTCTAAAGAGGACGCCAGCCTCGTGAGTCTGAATAGTAGATGGCTCGTAGTGATAGGAAGAGAGCAGGTGTTAGCGCGACTAGGCGGGAGGGTAAGGGAGGGAGGTATCGCAGGGTATAAGGGACTAGTGGAGATGCGCTGTATAGTAGAATGAACGAGACGGCGTACAATAACATGGTAGAAGTACACGGCCGTAAAGCAAGCAAGCCCAGAATGAGAAACGAATACGTCGAATGATGGTAGCTATGACACACAGGAGGGTTTGTGATTAGCCGTACCACTTGCCATTCTTAGCCTTCTGTGCCTTTGGTCTTTGAGGAATCATTGGTTCTGTGATGTTGAAGAGACGTTTCGCGGTCTGAAAGAGAAATGAGAGAGGTGGACGGCAGAATAGGGGGTGTATACACACCTCCCAGACCTCCATATCAAACTCAAGTACTAACTGCTGCTTCTTCAACCCTTCAGCGTAATCTTGTTGAGAGGGGCGTTCACAGATGTCTGAACACGAGTGATGAGAGCGGGACCGTCGGAATGAGAGGATTCAGACATACAGATCATCGGCTCTCCGTCCTCCTCAAGTTCAAGTGCGCACTCGCCGTCTCGTATCAAGAATGATAAGTGGAACATGTTCTCGACGGATTGTGCGAAGTCGTTGGGATTGATGATGAACCGGAATAAGTTGATCTTCCCCGATTCCTCTTCATTGCTTTTGTCTTCAAGCAGGTTTTTGATCTGTGGGTGATGTATTAGCGCAGTCCAGTGATGGGAGATGGCAACACTGACCAGGATAACATTCTTAGTCGTCTCGTTCTCTGACCGCTGGATATCGTCCTCCTTGATCTCCTGCGGCTTCACCTCATCCGCCTTGTTCTTCTCCAATCTTGCACGCTGCTTCATGACCCGCTTCTTCTGCTCGACTTGAAGAGGTCCAAGCCTGTGTACAGATGAGCTCACATTTCTTTGTTAATAGTAGCAGAGACACGTACATGAAATCCATCGCAGGTACCCGCCTGCTCTTCGCCATAGCTTTTCGGCCGATCTTCTCCCAGTCTAGTGGCGCGACATCCTGACCCTCATCCACAGCCCCGGCACCACCCATATAGCTTAGCAACTTCGCGACGAAGTCGTCCACGTCAAAGGCGCCACCTCCAGCCTTCATGGCGCGTGCTTTGGCAGCACCCATGTTGGACGCTGCGAGTAGAAATGAGGAGTCGAGAGTAGCTTCTTGTGGCGCTTGGACTGTGTGTGTGGTGATTCTTGTTAAGTTTCATGCTACACGGACGCGTCGAGGTGCGCACCTTCATCAAAGAGGTTGTCGGCGAGCTTGACCTTGTCAAGCAGCTCCTGTGCAGTGAATTCATTTGGTTTGCGAGTGTTCCCTGATAGCCAGATAAGTCATTTTGGGTATACATTGTGAGGTTGCACGGCGCACCTGTATCATCCAGAAACAAACCACGGTATTGTTTGCGAATCCGTCGTTTATCCTCCGGATTCTGGTGAGGGTCATAGCCCATCTTGCGTGGTGTACCAGAGTCTGAGCTTCCAGCAGACATGTTTGACGCGAGGCAGTAGTAATCAGAGCGCTTTTAATACGGCAAGCGTAGTCTAGCAAGTGTCAATGCGTCAAGAAGCTAGGGCAATGGTGGTTGAAAGCAAGACGCGTCGAAACCGGCAGCAGTAAACGCGGTCACGCCGCGCGCGTAGGTCACGCGTAACCACGACGCGTCGAAAACAAAGTTTTTCTCCGCATTGGTCGCGAAGACAAAAAGGAGGTAGGCACCTGATGTTGTTACACATCGACATCTGCAGGATTTGAACCTACGCGGGGAGACCCCAACAGATAGAACGGCAAGTTCGAATCTGTCGCCTTAACCACTTGGCTAAGATGCCTTATCAAGAGCCAAGGGCGCTGTAATTACAACCGTAGCATCTAGGCGGCTGTGCTCGCGCCGATCATGCGAGCACTCCGTTGCAGTACTGGAGGTAGTGTAAAGATGTCAAGCGCAGGACTCTGTTGGTCTCATAGCAGCATACATGTCATGCACTATTATACATTGAAAGGGCGTATATATTGTGTCCTCGGCTCATATCTCGAGGCACTCAGAAGTCAAAGCCCTCCTTGCGGAAGACGTCCAAGCTAACACCAGGAACGACCTTCTCGACGAGCTCAGGACGACCCTATGAGCACGCAGTCAGACGTGTTCAACATCCAATACCAAGCGAAGGTACGTACCATCTGCGCAAATGCCCGCCGCAACGTGTTCAGCAACTGCTCGCTCTTGTCGCCAGTGCTTTCCTGCAGCGAGAGCGCGCTCAAGAAGTGCTCCGCGGCCTCCTTATGTTGTCCGATGTTCAAGCACGCGACGCCGACGTTGTATATCGCGCGGGTGTACGTCGGGCGCAGCTGAAGCGCCTGCTGGTAGGCGCCCAGACTCTCCTCTGGCTTGTTCCCGTTACTCAAGCTGCTGCCCAGGCGGTTCCACAACAACCAGTCCTCCGGCCGTTGGCTGAGCGCAGCCTCGAAGCAGTCGCGCGCGCGATCGAACTCTTGTGCGGTATAGAAGAGTACACCGAGTGCGACCTGAGTGTCCGCGTCGACGATGCCAGACGCGTGTTGCGCCCGCGCGAGGTTCAGAAGGGCTTCGGTTACGGTGTCCCGCGAGTGCCACGAAGACTGAGCGAGCGACTCGAGTGTAGGTTGCGGGATGGGGTGTGACGGGAAACGTGACTGCAACCAGCGCAGAAGTGTGGCATGGCTCGCGCGGTCGAAACCTTCGTTCGTGTAACTGATCGCAAGGCTGATCATCCCTTCGCCCGCAGCACCCGCTTCTTCGGCCAAACGTGTACCCTCGCGCAGCGCACGGAGACCGGCCTCCTCGCGTTCGTCCATGTTGCGCGTTTCGCCCAGTAGGATCCATGCTTCGTAGCCGCCGGTACCGAGCTCGCCTCGTTGAATCGCAGCCTCGAGAAGGAGTGCGGCTTCAGTCAAGCTACCGCCGCGCGCCAAGAGGCCCTTTGCATCTTCAAGACAGCTGCGAGAAGACGAAGGATCAAGATACGGGTTCTGTTGCTCTGCATGACAATGTAAGCAGGTCGCTTAGAGCTCTCAAGTCGACGAGACATACCAAAGACGTATGTAGATAGCGCGGGAACGCCTTGCTCGTCGTACTGAGGTTCCATGCTTTCAGGACTCTGGTTGAGTCCCTGCTCCCAAATCTCCTTCATCATGTTGCCGTAGTCGTAGTCCGGCTCTTCGTTGTCCGAACGCATTAGCTGGTTGAACTCGGCTTCCCACTTGGCGAGATCTTCCTTCGGCGGAGGCATATCTGAGTTCTGCATCTGTTCCCAGACCCTGATCTCGCCGTCAGCACCGGCTCCCATCCACATGTCCAGAATTGACGCTGTAGGAAGAGATGATGCGTACTCTTTGAAAGCGCCACTGCCCTCGAGACCGGTCTTATCTTCGAGCGAAGTCTCGGCAAGTTCATTCGTGACTTCTTCGATCCGGCTTTGTTGTTGCGGTTGTAGCGAGGCGGTCACTTGCGCGAACGCGGCGTCAAAGTCGGACTCTTTGAGTTTGCCCTTGCCTTTGTCCTGCACGGGAGCGAATTGCGGTTGCTGCATGTACTGGGGCGCCATGCCCATGCCTCCCATGCCCATGCCACCGTACATCCCAAACGAAGAGTTGCCGTACATCGACCGGGGCATGAATTGCGATTGTTGTCCTGTTAAAGCAACCTCAGCTTCTTATCGCCACAGCTAATCTTCTAGGACTGACCGGGTTGCGCAGCCGACTGATTATGTTGGTGGGTTATAGGTTGAATAGCCTGTCCGTTCGAAGCATCAAACTCGCCCGCCCAGGCCATGGACGGCATGCCGGCGCGAGGAGCGGTCGTGCCGTCTTGACGCCGAGCGATCTCAGACCAGGCGTCCGAAAAGTCGGGAACAGCCCCACGGGCAGCAGACATGAGCTGTAGCTGGCGCGCCATATCGCCGTTCATGTGCATGGGTTGCTGCATGGACGTCGATGGACCTGACTGATCAAAGAACTGGCGCGCCATGGCCATATCCTGAGACGATGCACCCGGTGCAGAGGTAGTCGGTAGATGGTGCAATTGCTGCAGACATATATCAGAGGTGTATATGCATCCTTGAAATAGTCAAACATACTCTCGAGCCAGAAGGTCCTGCGATCCTGTCCTGTGCGAAGTTGGTTAGTAAGACATTCATGAGCGGCTTGACATGTCTGTATTCACTTGCTGGACACCGCGATCGCCTTCGGTATGCTTCAAAACTTGGTGTAGAGGGTTAATCTCTACGGCGCAATCAGCGCCAGACATGAGACCTTGTAAAGACATGGTGGGGAGATGGTGGGGGAAAGCAAGAAGCAGGGTGGACCGAGCGCCTTGATGGCTCCGGAGAACTTGACAGGGAGCCACGCGGACACGTGAAAGTGCATTGAACCCGGGGTAATATCTCGCCGCATTTCACGCTTGTCTTCCGCAACCATCATGCTCTCGCGGTCCTCTGCCATACTCTCGACTGCAAGGCTTAACTTTGCGCGTACATACGCGACCGCTGCATCTCCACATGCTCTGGTTTTGATTGAACACCGCAATGGAGCCATTGAGAGTAGTTCTCTTGCTGCATTGACCGCCGCGACCGAACTTGGTGGTGAAGTCACCGGGCTGGTCATAGGAGGACCGGATCAGGTTGGCAGCATTGTTGAGAAGGCAAAGAAGTGAGCTATACAACGTAGATGCGTTACAACAGTCGCTGACGAAAGAAAGGTTGAAGGGGCTCAAGTCCGTCCTACACTCAACATCCGAACAATACACCTCGCCTGTGCCGGAGATCGTTTCGCCTCTTCTCGAGAAACTGCTTGGCTCAGGCTCAGCCTACACGCACTTTGTCTCTGCACACTCCTCAGCCGCAAAAGCGCTCGTCCCACGACTCGCCGCGAAACTCGATGTACCGCATGTGCCCGACATTACTTCCCTTAGTCACAGTGAAGAGGGCACTACCTTCACCCGCCCAATCTACGCCGGCAACGCCATTGCTACCGTACGGGCGCCTGCGTCTCTTCCTGTGAAGATATTCACGGTTCGCGGGACTGCATTCGCCGCCGCGGCCGACGGAGGGGACGTGTCCGCGGAGGTCCTCGAGCCGGTTTCGGTGTCCGACTCGCCGACGACGCACATCAAGACTTCGTTGACGAAGAGCGACCGTCCTGAGCTTGGCGCCGCATCGCGTGTTGTGTCAGGCGGACGTGCGCTCAAGAACGCGGAGACGTTCAAGAGCACGATGGAGCCTCTGGCTGACGTTCTCGGTGCGGCTATTGGCGCTAGCAGGGCAGCTGTGGACGCCGGGTATGCGGACAATAGCTTGCAAGTCGGCCAGACGGGCAAGGTCGTTGCTCCGGAGCTCTACGTCGCCGTCGGCATCTCTGGCGCTATCCAACATCTTGCTGGGATGAAGGACTCGAAGATGATTGTGGCCATCAACAAGGTACATCTCACGCTTCTCATGAATGACTTTGGCCGTTGACATGTTATCAAGGATGCCGATGCTCCTATCTTCCAGGTTGCGGACGCAGGACTTGTAGCAGATCTCTACGAGGCTGTGCCGGACCTCGTCGAGAAGTTGAAGGCTACAAAGTAATTTGCTTAGAACGACCATCGCTTATTCCCACACACAATTTGTAGCAATATGATTACAGCACAACCTCTTTCGTCCTCGTTAATACATCCAAGTACTACTGGTCGAGCGACTTTTGTCAATTTCGGCCGGTGCTTGAAGCAGCTGTAGAATTCGAACAGAGCAGATGTTGGTCAGACTTGTACGTCCAGTCTCTGATTATCAACATGCATGCTCGAGACGTGCTGGACAAATATAGGTAATATGATGCGGCTAGTAAGAGAGGATACTCATTGCTGCAGGCCAACATTGACACTCCGCGGCGGCTTGTCGGTCGAGCATTAGCGGTCGAACTTGATTGGATCACTATGAAGGATTGTATTCCGCTCCCCATCCTCGGAGGCCCGTTTCACATCCCCCTGTTCTATCGACTTCGCCGAGTGCTCCTTGACCAACACGCGACGTCTCCACGCACGTAGGTAACACGCGTTGCCTGTCCAAGCTCTCAGTGACCGAGTCTCAGTCGCCAGGTAGTGAACCATCCGCACATAGATGAGATCCGTCCCTATCTGGATGCCATTGACTTGTCTTGCCTGTTCCACAGCTCCGACAGACGCGACCAGCGAGTGTGGCGTTTACCACCGCGCGACGTTTCCACGCACGTAGGTAACACGCATTGCCTGTCCAAGATCTCAGTAATCAAGTCTCAGTAGCCAGATAGGGAACCATCCGCACATAGATAAGATCCGTCCCTATTTGAATGGCTGAGCCAAATTTGACTTGTCTTGCCTGTTCCACAACTCCGACAGACGCGACCAGCGGGTGTGGCGGCTTCCAACTGGTTGACTCAGAGCATCAGGATCCCAGTAGTCAATGCGTACCCCAATATGAAGACTCACCTGAGCGCGTCGATAGCACGGGGAACCTGTGAGAATGTCATTGTATGAGAGCCACAAACACATAAGGTTTCGCCCTACATCTCGAGAAGTCATCACCGTCGGGGTGCGAGAACCATTTATGTGTTTTGCCAGTACCGCAATCCCGGCACACCCGACCAGAGAGTGTATCTTGTTCCAACTAAACATCCAGAGGCCTGTAGTCAATACAAGGATGACCACTATTGTGTTGTCGCGCACTTTCGCTCGGCGATAGCAACTCAAACCTGCTCGCATTCGTCAGTCCCTTCAGGACGTACAAGAACATATATAGGACGGGCGTACATCGTTGCACTGGTCCACTCGGGTGTGTGTACCAGTAAAGGCTGTCTTTCCCACAGTCCAAACACTTCATACCGGCGGATTTGATTCGTTCTGTCTGCAGGAGCGTGTGCAACGATCAGATGTGCGCTTTACAGCCTATGGAGATAAATCGCCGGACTCTTTGGCGCACATAGCAATGCCGACCTAGGCCGAGTGAGCGAGGAGTGCAAAAGTGTAACCGAAGGCTACCTGTACTCACAGGTTGGTCCGCCTACTCTCCCATACCAGCTGCCAGTACTATATTGTGCACCGCAACTTGTGCACTGTAGACCTTTCGGGTGCAACTGAGCACGAGGCGAAGGCCTGGATAAACGACACGTGTCAGTACCAGAAGCGTCGAGTGGTCACCAGGCATTACTTCTGGCTAGATGGGGAGGGGGTGGTGATAGACCGTTGGAGACAGCTTCGTGTCAGGCTCTCGTTTAAGCGAAGTGCTGATGTTGACAGGACAGCGCGTATCAGCAAGGTCTGGGGTCTATGCATCTGTGAGATGCCGACGAGGGCCATGACGCCACGATACCGAGAATGAGAGGTTCCCAACAAAGACAAGGTGGCTGTTCAAAGTCAAAGGGAAGCCCAGCAGAGCACGCAACCAGGACGCTCGTTGCGCGCGTCTTGCCCCCCTACCACCACCACCTACACTGCAAATATGAGGGCCTGGCGCCATAATCACTATCGCATAAACTACCCTTGTGACTTGATATGCTCAAATGTAGAACTGCCTGGACGATGATGCTCTCACCTTTCTCTGTCATCACTTTGGAAGAATAAAGCAGCTTTGCGACGTGATAGTGGCATACCATACTCCGCTTGCTTTGTCCTCATCGTACCGCCACACTTGGCTCGCCAGGCGTGCGTACATGACACGCGTCTGTGCTTTAGACTCCTCCTGTGTCCTTTGTCCTTTGCTGCCCTTATTCTAAGCCCTTTAAATGCGCTGGCCTCGAGTACAGGTCGCATGCCAATCTCTTCTTCACGTTCCGCCTCTGACGACCGCCATCCTCTTCCGACGCCTCACGGCTGTAGACGAATCCTACGATGAGCACCGCTCCACAACCAATAGATACACAACAAATCTGGCTGCGTAGCCCTGAGGGGTTTACGTATCTAGTCGACTCCAACCACAGCAACCCCCCGCCGACGGGAGGGGGACATAGGTGCGTATCATCATTATTCTCATTGTCACAACATGTCTTGACGGGGACGCAGGTTGCGCGATGCTGCTCGTCGCTTCGTGAGCGCTATGCCCGGCCGTAGAACGCGCCCTCGTTCGGACGACAGTACACCTTCCTCACCCGAACCCTCAACTCCTTTATTGCACGACCCCAATCAACCTTTTGTGCTGCCGCCAAACTATCCCATTCATTCCAATCTCTTTGCCGGCCTCGTGGCTCCTATGCCACCCAGCTTGGATCCTCAAGCCCCGCCACCTTGGGCCCACCAGGCACCGCCCCAGATGCAGATGCCGACTCCATCGGTCCGTGTAGGCGACGACGTCGCCTTCGGACAGATACTGCCGCAACAAGGTGCGGTGCAGTCACGTCCCAAACGACGTACCGCACGACGAACCCATGAGCATATAAGGCTGCCCGGCCGAGACCGACAAGACCTGATCGATCCCCGTTTTGCTCGCGACGCAGGGCGGGCGGACATATCTCAATCTATCGATGCGTGAGTGTCAATGCCATCCTTTTTGAGCTCCTGTAGCTTACTCTGTTCTCGTACATAGCGAACAACACGCGGGCAATGGAGAGAACGCGGCACTCGAGCCTCTATTGATCAACGATACCAGCGGCCGTGAACGTGGTGCAGATAGCGCCAGTGCCATACCCGGCAACTCCAGTTCGATGGGAGGCTCTCGTCCATCTGTACCCGAGCGAGCCAGCACTGTCTATTCTTTCCCCACGATTTCTACAGGGCTCGTGCCCAAGCGCCAGAGCGTCGATTCGCGCCGGACCTTATCTTTCCCACCGATGTCAAGTCGCTTTTCCACGAACACGTCCGTACTGGAGTTGTTGGATGGCGAACGCTCGCGTTCTCATTCGCTAGAAGACACGGTCTCTGTGCCTGCGACCGAAGATCTCCAGCGTCCAGGCGGATCTAATAAGAGACGCAGCCGCGAAGAACGTAGTCAACTTCGAGTATCGTTCTCGTCCGAACTGTCAGAGTTGGCGCCGTCTACGGTGCACACTGCCAGCACCGATGACACTTCCCCTTCAACCCTGGGGCGTCCCCTCCCGTCGGTCATAGGCCTGCCCGTGTCCGAAGAAGAAAGGGCGATGATCTTTCAGAACCGACTTCGGCGCGAGCTGAATGTTTTACTCGGCATCCCGGACGATATCGCGCACTTCGATCCTCAGGGAGCGAACGACCGAGTGTTAGACGCTGTTCGCAAGATGAAATTCGAGAAGAGGGAGGCCGAGGAGGCAGTGTGGAGGTTAGAGAGAAAGATAGAAGGGATACAGGCGCTCGTTAGATGATGCCATGACAATGCTTCCGGCTCGTAGCCTACTCAGTTGCTATGTTGTAGCTTCAAATCTGCATGCGTTTTATGTGACTATCTAATACCCGTCGTCGGCGTCTTCATCCACTGATAAGCTCACAGTGAGGATGCTGTACCGATTGTAGAAGCCTGCATGGGTCGCGCGCAATGAGCGCTTCGGTATTCGAATTCACTCGATGGATGAATCGATGAGGGTCGTACATACCAGCGCGGGAACTTCGGGGAGAAATAGGTGACACAGACGCATCCTTCTACATGAATTGTACTTGTCCACGCGATAGAGGTATCGTATCCAAGTACCAATGTTCTACCGAGCATACTCGTGGATGTGTATAATATTGTGGGCCCAGTCGGGCCACGAGCCATTCGGAGTCCACGCTGTACGGAAGCTGCGCCCACGACCTGCCGGGGTGACGAGCCGGGCCGCAGTACAGTGCGCAATCAAGACATGTGTTGCAAATATGATAGGTCGTGCAGTGTCAAGTATCGGACTCTACTGTTTGCTCTGAGCCCACAAAGTGAGACGCTCTCGTTTCCGGCTCGGATGACACTATCTTCGCCGCGCTCTTCTCGTCTCGCAAGCGTCGTCTCCGCTCACGTTTATAGCAGGCACTACCTAGCGATGATGTCAGGCCATCGGAGCGGTGACCGTAAAACATGTTGTGCTTACATCGAAAATGCCCATCGGCGGTTGGATGTTTGGTCCAATAAGTGGTTTGTCTTGTGCCACAGTCCTGGCAGATTCTACCATCCAGAGTTTGGCGTCTGACCTGATAATTGCAAGAGGCTCAGAACTCTGCTATGGCCGTATATGAGGTGAGAATCGTTTACCCAGTCTCGCCGGTCGCAAGTACCACCTATACAGTACGCAAAGTATCATTCGTGGTCGAGCACTGGTGATACCAGTTCAGATTCATACATATATAAAGTCCATTCTTGCCCCGGGATGGTCGCCATTTCCATGATTCTTTGGTCCCGCAATCTTGACA